CGAGCGCCTTTCCGCCGGAAGAGGACTCGCGCAACGAAGCGTTTCTAGTTCCTGTCGCTCGCGCCCACGAGCTGAATATAATTCCAAGTGAAATCGTTCTAAGCTGCGCCTTTCTTGACATTTCCGATCCATTTCAGCCGCGAGAGGCGGATAAGACAGCGGGATGTAAATCTCAATGCTGTCGGCTTCGAGATAATATTCAAAGTTCTAGATGATTAAGTGAGAAATCCATTTCGACAAAAATTTATACATCCGAATTTATATTTTCTATCTCCATATGTAGATTTTTTTTTTCCTACTCCTTTTCTCCTACGAGACATCGTGAAATATCCATCTCCGTACCAGAGATTGAGAATCGGCCGAGTGCGAGCTCGATGCGACGTATGTCGATCGTGTTTCTCCACGCCACGATAGCGTGTTGTTGAACTTGCTACGATAAAGGGCCTCCACCTCTTTCTCGTTCTCTATCTTTCGCCCTGCTTCGCGCTTGCGCTCTCTCTCTCTCTCTCTCTCTCTCTCTCTCTCTCTCTCTCTCTCTCTCTCTCTCGCTCTCTCTCTCTCTCTCTCTCTCTCTCTCTCTCTTTCTCTTCTTTCATCGGCCCCGTCGCTCGCTCGTTTCGCTCGCTTCTCCTCGAGCTTCCAACTTTCGCTTTACGAGGACGACAGCATGGTGCAAAGATGCACCACCATATCCCATTCAGCTCCAATTTAGCTCCTAATCTTTGATTTTATTTTAATTGTATGGAAAATATAATTTGATTGGCTGAAACAAATTCTGATAATGAAATATGAACGATTCAGAAATTCCGATCACTTTTATAAGAAACTATTATTTCTGTCTGTTATTTATATCAATTAGATGCAAAATATATACAATGCCGCGGTCATTTATCTATTTTAGCTAATTTCTCGTATCTAGATAATTTTCGCTATGATTGCAAGATCATTTTTTTTTTCATTGACGGAAAACCGGAGCTTTATTAAAGACGAAGAATTTATTGAAATATTTACGGAGTAGTCTTGTCTAGCTGGAGCTATAAATGACATAAAATATGCCTACTTCATTACGCCAGCAGACGGTTCGCTCATTTGGCTGATAAAGAGAAGGCGAAAGAAAACGGAGATGAGTGTCGCGCGATACAGAGCAAAGACTACGAAGAAGCAGCAGATGATGATAATAATGATGATGACGACGAAGAAGAAGAAGACGCCTTTACGCAGCAGAACTTACTTCCGCCAGGACCATCCAATCGTGAAACGCGCCGAGATCTACTCTCGGAGCGAGCGGAGAGGAAAAAAAGAGCAAGAGCAAGAGCGAGAGAGAGAGAGAGAGAGAGAGAGAGAGAGAGAGACAGCATACAAAGCGCGCGACGCTA